TATTTTGTTGAGTATTTTTGTATCTATGGTCATCAGGAATATTGGTCTATTATTTTCTTTTTTGTGGTGTCTTTGCCTGGTTTTGGTATTAGAGTGATGCTGGCCTCATTGAATGAGTTTGAGAGTATTCACTCTTCTTCTACATTTTGGAAAACTTTAAGGAGGATGGGTATTAGGTCTTCACTAAATGTTTGATAAAATTCAGCAGTGAAATCATTTGGTCCATGAGTTTTGTTCTTAGGTAATTTTTTGGTTATCATTCAATTTCCTTGCTGGTAATTGGTCTACTCAAATTTTCTGTTACTTCCTCAGTCAGTCTTGGAAGGTTGTATTTTTCTAGAAAGTTGTCTATTTCTTCTATGTTATCCAATTATTTCACATATAATTTTTCATTGTATTCTCTCATAATTCTTTGTATTTCTGTGGTGTCCGTAGTGACTTTTCTGTTCTCATTTCTGATTCTGTTTATGTGTGTAGACTCCCTTTTTTTCCTGATAAGTCTGGCTAGGGGTTTATCTATTTTGTTTATTTTCTTGAAGAACCAGCTCCTGCTTTCATTGATTCTTTCTATTGTTTTATTCTTCTTGATTTGATTTATTCCTGCTCTAATCTTTATTATGTCCCTCCTTCTGCTGACTTTGGGCCTCATTTGTTCTTCTTTTTGTAGTTTTATTAATTGTGAGTTTAGAGTGTCCATATGGGATTGTTCTTCTTTCCTGAGGTAGGCCCGTAGTGCAATATAGCTTCCTCTCAGCACAGCCTTTTTTGCATCCCACAGATTTTGTGGTGTTGAATATTGTTGTCATTTTTATCCATATATTGCTTGATCTCTGTTTTTATGTGGTCATTGATCCATTTATTATTTAGGAGCATGTTATTAAGCCTCCACGTGTTTGTGAACTTTCTCTGTTTTCTTTGTGTGATTTATTTCTAGTTTCATCCCATTGTGGTCTGAGAAGCTGGTTGGTACAATTTCAATGTTTTTGAATTTACTGAGGCTCTTTTTGTGGCCTAGTATATGATCTATTCTTGAAAATGTTCCATGTGCACTTGAGAAGAATGTGTATCCTGTTGCTTTTGGATGGAGTGTTCTGTAGATGTCTGTTAGGTCCATTTGTTCTAATACATTGTTTAGTGCCTCTGTGTCCTTACTTATTTTCTTCTGGTTGATCTGTCCTTTGGAGTGAGTGGTGTATTGAAGTCTTCTAAAATGAACGCACGGCATCATATTTCCACCTTTAATTTTGTTAGTAGTTATTTCACATATGTAGGTGATCCTGTGTGTTGGGTGCATATTTATAATAGTTATATCCCCTTGTTGGATGGACTACTTTATCAATAAAGGAGATGGACTCCTTTATTATGTCATGTCCTTCTTTGTCTCTTGTGACTTCCTTTGTTTTGAAGTCTATTTTGTCTGATACAAGCACTGAAACTCCTGCTTTTTTCTCCCTATTAGTTGCATGAAATATCTTTTTCCATCCCCTTACTTTCAGTCTGTTTGTCTTTGGGTTTGAAGTGAGTCTCTTATACGCAGCATATAGATGGGTCTTGTTTTTTTATCCATTAGTGACTCTATGTTGCTGTTCGTTTTTAGGATGTCCAAACAAGGAAGCAACAGAATGACAAGATCATTTGGGATTGCTACCTTTATGGGGAAACCAAAGTCATTTTCCTAACTGAAGACAGAGGGACTGGTAGTTTTTTATTCAGCATGATTGAATAAGTGGTCAGCAACAAGACCTCTCTTATTCTCCAAAGATGTCTCCACCTCTTAAGTTGTTAATGTTTTAGGAAGCCACTGAATAAATCCAGTCTTGATTGAAACTTCCATGTAAGGTGGTGTTAGTGAGTACAAAGAGGTAGGATTAGGCCTTTGAAGTACCAAAAAAAAGTATCTGTAGAACTTGTTGCTAAATGGCTTTAGGGAATGTTATTGACCAAATATTTCAATCTTTAAAGGAAAATTAAAATATCATTGTAGAAATAATAGAGAGACCCAGATATTGGGAGGTAAATAAGTTCAACTTACTGAGTTAGAAGTAACAGGATCTAATAAAGGACACCTTCAAATAGTGACTATGAAAGATAGCCTTTGGACATTTGTTTACATGCTTTACATAAAAAGTATTTGAAAGGTGACATTATGAGTTTATACCATGTTATAAAGGTCTTTCCCAAGTTCTTACCCTCTGTGGAATAAATGTGATATCCACTTTCTTGGTATAACCTCTGGTAATCAACGAGTTGAGATAACCCACATTATCCTTATGCATTTTCTTTTCCTCTGATATAGTTGGTACAGTATAAGTTGTTGAAAGGGGTTCCTGGGAATGAGAAAAAACTATCAATTGAAAAACCCTGTATATATTTTCTAATATTATTTGTTGTTCTACATCTTACCCTGGTGCCATAAAAAAAAAACCCCTAAGAATGCTACTATACAAATAATTTGAAATGAAATAGAATATTACCACTACTTTGAGTGGGGGAGACATAATTAGTTTGCCTGGTTTCACTCTACTTAATTACAAGTCACCTAAGTCCTTGGCCTGTGGCCATTCATTAATCAGAAGCATGTATTCCTGCTAAAATGATAATGATGTTTGCAGTTGGATCTTCAGCTGATTGACCCTCCCTCACCTCTGTCCAACCTAACTGCTGTCCTCCACGTTTATTACTCTCTACTGTCTGCCTACAATCCCTTACCCTGTCCACTTCCTCCCACCTACATTTCTCCAACTCTTTCCAACTTGATAATATTAAAGCTTTTCCTTTTTGAATTTCATTCCCAGCCCTTTGTCTGCCAAGAATCTCCAAGGACCCTTCTGTTACCTAAAGGAAACATCCAGCCTAGAAAAGCACTTGGGCTTCCCGGCTAATTATCAAAGTCTTGGTATCTCAGTAATCCCCATGGACAACTATCTTAACCTTCTGCTGGTAGATTAGAGGTACACAGATCACTCCCATTTACCAGGAATAGTCAGTTTTGTGCCTTCAAAACCCTCTACAATCATTTTTCAGGATATCCAACTTACAAGTGGCCCCATATTTCACAGTTTGGTGGTAGTCATTAAAATTCCTTGCTAGGGTTATAGTAAGGTGGGTAATGAACTATTAAAGACCAAAATGAAGGAAAATCATGCTTTACTTCATTCCTCATACCCTTCTTCCCTGTTTGGGACATTAAATCTTTTTAATATAGGACCACATATATGCATACCCAATACTTGTTCTTTTTTTCAAAATTCTAGTTGTAGTTGGCTGAACCAACTTGGTTTAATGTGGACTCTGCTTGCCATGAGCACTTTTTAGACTTTTCAGTGATGGGACTTTCCTTGCTAGATTTCTTTGAAAGTATTGCAAAATGTTGCTGAAAATATAGATTGATTCCATATTATTTGCTCATGCTGTGTACAAATATGTAAACAACGCCATTGCCAAGCACCCACTCCCAACCCAAACAAGTTTTTAAGAAGTTTGAATCACTAATGTGAGACCACTTGCTTTTCTCACCTCTTTTTTCTTAATTTCAGGGCCTTTGCTCTTCATTTTAAGAGGTGGCTTGCCTTTCAGTTTTTTATTTTCTGTTGGTTTTGGCAAGTTATCTAGCTTTTCTTTAATCAAACCAATTACTCTGTAGTCAGCATATGCCTCTGCAATATCCATAGCACTATGACCTGTTAAGAAAAAATCGAGTTACAGTAAACTGTGAAATAATAAACCACATAGGAACATCTAGTACATCAGCCTAGAGCATGTGATAGTATGAGTGAATTCTGCAAATGGTATGTGTAAGGTCACAGAGCTAGATCAAACATTCTCTAAGATAGACCCAGCTCTAAAATTCCAAGTTCAAGGGCCATTTACTAGCAAAACGACTTTTTCTTGTTAATTTTCTTTGGAGCATGCTTCTTAAAAAGTTGACAGGAAATATTGATAGGATGCATTTGAGTATTTGAATGATGATTTTTTTCGCACACATTATGACCATTTCCTGTTATGTGACAGTTTTATATTATCATCCCCTTTCTGTGATTTAAGGAGGTATATTCAAAAAGGCCTGGGAAAGTAGTCACAAGTGCTCTATGCAGATGGCTGGGTATTTATGACAACTGTAATATATTCAGTAGGCCTAACAGAGCAACCCATGACTTAGAGGAAGCCTGAGGTGGCCAGAAATATTAATGCATTCTCAGATCAAAAGGAAGCAATGGGTTCCACTATGTGAAAATAACACCTCTAAGCAAGAAGGTCAAATATTCAACTTTTATTTATTCTTCATGTGTGATATTTACAACACAGGTAGGCCTCCATTTGCCTCCTAGAGAGAACCTCAATTGAGGAATTACTTTATCTAGCTTTAGAAAGAACCCAAAGTCTATGGTTTTTAAACTATGCCAATTATTAGGAACTGGCAGTTATAACAGTGTAACTCAGGATGTGATCTACAAACTGGTTCGAGTTCACAAACATGGTTATTGGGCTACAATGAAATAAGTACAGAAAATTAAGAGTAAGTGTTTAGACATTTTTATAGTAATTGATAGAAGAATTTTTTGGCATTTTAATCTAATGATCAAAAAAAGTTGGAGTTTCTATTTCATGTTTTTTTTCCACTTCATTTTTCTAGTAAATTACTTTTTATTGCATTTTCCAAAACTATCAGTCTACAACTATTGCAAACATAAAAAACTGGTCCTTTCACACCAATGATTTGAGAAGCACTGAATATAAGAAACTTCTGACATTTAACTCAGACTTGTGTTTGCAGCGGTAGCTTGGGGAAAAGATGTTCCTACAAGACTAGACTAAGAAGAGGTTTGGAATCTAAAATAAATTCTCCTTGTCCAACCCTAACCATTGGTAACATGAACATATACCTTTTCTATTTTCCAGCTGGAATTTAGCACCAATGTCAAGTAGATATTTTACAGTATCAAGTCTACAGCTCTCAATGGCTCTACTTAAAGGAGTTGAGTTGTTGATTGACAATGCATCTATCATGGCTCCAGATTTAACAAGAAGCTCAACAATATCTTGTTGTCCTGCATGGCATGCAAAATGAAGAGGAGTCCACAGAAAATTATCTTTTGCGTTCACGTTAGCCCTATAAAATGAGGTAGAAGCACAAGATAAAAATATGGGTTGTCCCAAGCACCAGAAGCTAAAATTGCAAAGTAAGATTTTCTATGTTTTAGAGAGGTTTTCATCTATAAACCAGGGAAGCTCTGAGTAAAAAGCTGGGCCATAATTTTTCTTGACTCGTGTTCTGCATTATCTCACAGCTTTAACTTTCTTTATGTATATGTGTTCTTTTAGTTTTAAAAGGCCATTCAATCCTAGGGGTTGCAATTTTTGCAAAGGTTACGGCCAAGGAAAAGTACAAAATTGCATCAAAGGAAGATAAAAACTGACAGGAAATATAAATGTTACATTATTCCATTTTGTATCTATTTTCTCTAAGTTATGAATTTTAAATGCACTTTCATTATTAAAATTCTAGGCAGTATAATGCATTATTTAAAATTGTAATCCTTTTTAAAAATTCACCACCCCAAAGTTCAAATTCTCATTAGTTACTTTATACTCCCTCTTCATAATATACAAATTTGAATCCTTTTTTGATATTAAACAAACATGGCAGTAATAACAATACCCTTTATATCAAGTATGCAGTTACTGTGCTAGCATGTGCTCTATGTATTTTAACTCATTTAATCTTCAACAAATTCTGTGAGCTGAGCACCATGTAAATGTGAGAAGACTGAGGTACAAAAAGGTTAAGAAACTTACCAGGTTATTCAGCTATGGTAGAAAAAGAAATTAAACCTGAGCACCTGCTTTAGATTAGAAAGTTAAATCAAAATGTCATGCTTTGATATTTTAGATATTTTTACAAATGAACCAAGGAAAAGACTGCTCCCTCTGAAAGAAGGAATGAAACACTGAATGTTCTTTTTCTAATTTACGGCCACCACACTGCTTATTTGAATTTTTTGGGGCACACAAAAGAGGCAGATGAAAAAGCACCTCAATGTTAAATGAATATGTTCTAGAGACCTGCTGTATAATATTGTGAATAATATTAATATTATTAATATTGCTAGTTAATACTGAACTGTATATGCAAATTTGTTAAGAGGGTAGAGGTTATTCTCACTACAAAAAAAGATAATTTTTTAATTTAAAATAAAAGAAAAAGTGACTCCACATCATTTAGGTAGAGCCTGAGACCAAATTAAATTGTCTCGGGAGGCTAGAGTTACCCATTCAGAAGGCTGCTTCTACTCCCAGAGTGAAAACTTCTTGGCCTTCACTTTGTGCACAGTGGTTACTGAAGAACTATCTTTGTGTACACACCACTTCTATATTCCCATTAGCCTGGGTACCCACGTATCAGCTGTCTGTGACCTGGACTTCAGGAATGAAGCACTTTCTGCTACTAGGAGAGTTCTGCAGATGAATGTATATAAACCTCCCTTTCCCTTCTTTGCAATGTGAAGACATGAAAATTTAAGCTTCCGTCAACCAGAAAACATACCCTTTTTCAAGAAGAAACTTGACTGCTTCTATGTTTCCACTTGCACATGCCGTCATTAGCGGTGTTTTGTAGTAATTATCCTGTATATCCACAGGCATTCCTGACTCAAATGCCTTTTTCAGAGAAGCCAGGTCTCCCGCCTTGGTGATGAAATTAATGTTTGAAAATACCTTCCCTGAGTCATCAATGTACCAAGCCAAGTCATCCTGAATGGGATGTTCTGGCGGGTGATCTCTATTAAACCGGCTGCAGTCAGTTACGTTCTTGCAGGTGTCAATCATGTAATAGGGTGGCCCACCATTGCTCCAGTGTGGAAACACGTGGTCTGGGATGATGCAGACTGGGAGGGGTAAAACAAACGTGCCTTTCTTTGCTTTTTTGGCCATCCCTTTTTTCTTTTTCTTAGGCCTATAGGATCCCAAGACAAAAGACTTGCTTAAGTATTTGGTTCCTTTGAAAAAATCGTTAATGTTGACCCCAGCTCCCAGGATTTTTTCATGAAGTTGAGCGACTGCAGCCAGCTGTTCTGAGGTCACGAACTCTTGCCTCTCCTCCAGGGTCATCACAAAGTCCTCCTTGCTGACTGTCCCATCGCCCCTATCCACAAGCGAAAAGGCTTCCCAAAGGAAAGCCTCACGTTCTACTGACCAATCATGAAGTCTAAGGGCCCAAAGTGGATTGGGATTTTTGGCTCCTGGCCTTGCTAGTTTATCAGCGATTCTCTCCGCCCGCCGAATTTCTTTGCTTGCCGCTTTGAAGCCGCCTTCCTTAGCCAAAGCCCTGGGTGTTTTGTGGTTTAAATTCCTCCATTTCAGCTCACATCCTAAAACAAGAAGTGCCATTATTATGAAGGGTCCTCAGGCATCCACATGGTTCTACAAATCACATTCACCTGTTTTCTTAATTTTGAGTGATTACTCTGAAGTTTGTCCCCAAATTGTTCATATAAAACAATGAACCTGTTTTAACTATTATAATTGCAAATTAAGCTGTGATTTTTTTTTTTTCTCTGTGAGCTTCACTTTGGTAGATTCTGAGGGAGATATGCCCCCAAAGGACTGGGACATTAATCCCTATAGTTCTTTGAAACAAATGTCATACTGGGATACTTGCTAAGGAGACTTCATCTAATCAGGAAAAGAATAAGGGTGACATTTGAATTTGGAAGCAAATTGAATTCAGATATCTTATGTAGGGATTTAGGAACTCGGGATGCTGAACAACAGCTGCTGCTTTGTGAATGATTCTAACTAAATTTGTACACAATCTTAAACTATATTTTGTTTGCTCCATGAAATTAATGTAATTTATGTTGAGCTGCTGTTTTGTGGTGAGGTCATGTAAACAACCTAAGAGAAGAATAAGTAATTTGGTCATCAATCTGAAAGGATTCCAGTATTTTATTGGTGCAAGTTAGACATTAAAATTCTTTTTCCTTTTTGGTCCTTTACTTAAAATGATGAGACTAACATTATATGTTAGTACTCTCCAAATAAAGTTTTCTGAACTCATCAGGAGAGTCTCTTAGTGATACTAGAAGGGCTATGTTGTCTGTATTAAGTGTCTTGAGACATTAAAAATCCATTGTGTATATAAATAAATCAGACTGAAGAAACTCTTCCTAGTGTTTTGAATCTAGAAGGCTCTTGTTACTCTGCCAACATCACTTAATCAAAAGAGACTGCTGCCCAATCAGCATCTCTGGCAACTAAAACATAAGCAGTTGTATTAAAAAATAAACATGCCCTTTCAACACTTTATAATATTATTCCTTGTCAAAAAGAAAATTAATCACCAGTGCTGTCAAGATTAATCCTTCCTTTCGTATTGTCAATAATTTAAAATTTTATTCTAAAGCTGGTTACATGACCTGTGAGAGAAAAACTCAAAAAGAATATTGGAATAAAAAAGGATTTTAAAATTTCTATATTAGACAGTTTTAAGACAAGTGACTTATTGAGAAAGGGACCTTGAGACTGGTCTTGAAAGTGTAATTCCATAGTAATTACAAGTATGCCATTTTTACTTAGCTTTTTTGCTTGTTCAGGTTGCCTGGGGGGTTATCTGTATTCTCCCAAGCCACTCCTTCCATAATACCCTGGCACTAAGGAGCTAAAACTTTAAAGCTACTTTGTCTTGCCTGCTTCTACTCCTAGTTTCCTCCTAGTTAGAAACCTTTATGCAAATAAAAGACTCCAACATCCCAGCTTGAAGATCTGAAGGATTTTTCCTCTCCTTTTGACTTAGGACTTTTGTCTCCTCCTCTATAATTAGTAAATAAAGGTCTATTCATTCCCTTTGTGATTTATATTCTTCTGTGGTTAAGAGACCCAACCTTCAGGAGACTGGTGCTGTAGAAGCTGGGGACCAGAGGCCCAGGAGGAGAGCTACCCCAATCGCCTCCTCTGCCCTGGATGCGGTGCTCACGCTGCTTACACTGACTTGTAAGTTGCTCCAGTAACAGGACTGGAGCAAAAGAAGAGCATATCAAGGAAGATAGTTTAAAGTGGGAAAAGTATACCTTACATGAAAGTATGGAAGAGATTAGAGCCAGGGAGTGTACTCAGAAACAAGCATTTCATTGCTAATGGTTTCTTGCTGCTCTAACGGCCTTTCAGATTCTGCAAGTGGAAAAGTAACTTTAACACTTCTGCTCTGGAATTGGACCACCCACATATGATCTGGTGACGTGGTTGTCCTTCCCGACATGCTGCAGTGTCCCCCACATCTTCAGACATTTATTTTAGAAACACAGTCCATTCCTATGATTCTGCCAGGAACATATATCTTCTGTGTCACTGAGCAGGGCCTTTGTCATGGCCCAAGCTCTGGCCCCTTGCTTCTCAGTTTGCTTTCAATGACTTCTCCCGGGAGTACATACATGAATGACAGACTATACGCTTCGTGATGTTTGTCCCAGTTGGAAAGCAGTCAACATGTTAAAGTCAAAGAAGCTTGTCTCAATTTGGGCAGATCTTTAGTTTGTAGCAATAGCACAATGTTCAAAATGAAATGTCAGAATAATGTCTGAGTGACAGATTTGAGAAGACTGATGAGATGGTTTGTGAAGGCAAAAATTGCATTTATAGTTTCTATTTGCTAGAAGTATTACTTTGGGGGATGGGGAAAGAGTATGAGCTTTGTATAAGTTATAGAAAATTAAGGTGGATCCATTACTACACTTCGAATTATGCAGGCAGACTAGTCTTATTTATAATATTAGTGGTTACAGTACAGGATCTCTAGGTCCTGGTGCCTTTAAAATGCTGTGCCTGTGTTGAGGACAGAAAAACAAAACCACTTTCTCTGCTCTTTCTAGAACAAAAGTTAAGATTAAATTAAAATTTAATTTGGTTAACTAAATTTAAAAGTCTATTATTGAAAAGTTGTTGGACTTTGAGTTCTTGCCTATTTCTCATAAACTGGGGTGGGGAGAAACCCACTCCCATAAAGTCCAGCAGAATGCAGTTCCATCTCTAAAAAAACAGTTAAGAACTTTCAATGTACATTCAATTAGCATGGAATTAACACCAAATTGATCCATATCCTTAAATTTAGCTAAGATTATCATTTTAAGGAACACGGTAAGCTATCCATAACATAGCTTATATTCGTAAATTCACAAAGTTACTTAAAAGCTACAGGAAAATCTAAACGCTTACTTACATTTCAAATTTTCTATGAAAATCTTCATTTTATTTCCTGTTTCTCAAAATATTTCCCCCATAATCTCAAGTGATCCAGAAGAGTTATCTTTGCACTTGACACACAGAATATTTTTTTAAATAAAATAACTCAGACTAAACGATGTGGTTTCTGGTGTTTGCCCTTCTTTAGATTGATGTTGACACTTCTTTAAGGAGTTTAATAACTCTAAGTATTTTAATAATTGGTTGACTCATGAAAAATCTTCTTTAAATGTTCAACCCAAACCCAAAAATATTTGTAAAAATGGGTTTTCGTTGCTTCTAAACCCAGATTCATGATTTAACAGAAGGCAGATTAAGAAAAAAAATTTCCAGTTTCTTTTTGTATCTATGAGTGAAGTTGGCTCACTTAACTGACAAGTGACAGGCCCAAATTCTCTGTTCTCTATGAAACGAGTAAATTACAGATACTTTAAGCATAAAATTGCTAGGCAATTTTACCTCGCTGAGCTATGTATTTACAGCAATCAGTAAAACCGCCCATGGCAGCATAATGAAGTGGTGTGTTCCCATTCATTGCAATCAGCCCCATGTCTCCATTATAGGCAAAAAGCAGCTTCAGTATCTGCAAAATAAAGAGTGGATACTGTAGAAGAGGAATATACATTTACTGAGTAAATACAGGCACGTAAGCTTGTGCTGTCCAATGCATGTTAGCCCCGTGTGGCTATTTAAAATGAAACAAATGAATTAAATAGTAAAAATTCAGTTCCTTAGTTTCATTGGCCCTATTCAAAGTACTCCAAGGCCACATGTGGCTCCTGCATTGTAGTGTATCGTGCAGCACAGATATAGAACATTCCCAACATTGCCAAAAGTTCTATCAAACAACAGTCATCTCGAGTACAGAAAACTGTACTCAACCGGGCACCACCAAGTTGGTGAATCTAGGCAATTTTAGAAAGCATCGGTCTATGGCAAACATTATCAGGAGAGCAGATTCTTTATTTTGGAGGGATAGGGAATGAGCTCCCTATACAGTCATAAAAAGTAAAAATGGATCAAATGTGATTTCTGTTGTGACACATACTTTTATTGCCAGGAAGAGACTGACAAAAGAGAAAGATGATTTGTTAAAACTCAAAGAAAATTGAGTAAAGAAATGTAATCCAGAATTTTAAAAAATATGATAGCACTGGTTCTAATTTTATTTCTACAATGTCCTGTACCTATGAGATAATCCTTTGCTGATATGCCTATGTCTAGAAAGACTTAGAATTTAAAATTTAGGTGAGTCATCTGCACACAAAAATCAAAGAGATGAGAGCATGTTAGCATTATTCTCCCCACAATTAGATCAGACCATATTTTGAAGATGCTAATGTGTAATGGAGGCGTAAAATAAAGTAGTCCTGGTTAGCTAAACTTTTAAATTATCGTAGTTAAGACAGAAAAAACATTATTAGTCATCTTAAATGAATAAATTAACAAAGCAGATAAAACAATTAAGAGCTAGAATATGTTTTCAAAAATAATGTTTGGTATAAAATACAGTTTTTAGAATTATTTAGGGAAATCAAGATGGTAACTCAGAAAAAATTGTATCACCTACACGATATTTAAAAATTTTGAGGAAATGGAAAATTTTCAGCAATAAATTCTAAAGCAAAGAACAGGTTATTACATTGAAAAAGCCTCCTTTGGCAGCAAAATGTGCAGCATGATGTCGGTCATTGTCAAATGCATTCACTTCACCTCCTCTTTCCAATATCCCTCGAACTAGTTCTACCACTCCTTCTCTTGATGCTTCCATTAAAGCCGTGCGGCCTGTGACCTAGGCATGAAACAGATCAAATGCTGTTAGTTCCTGGCATATTAAACAAAATAAAGATGGTCTAAATTGGCCTTAGATTCAGAGTGACATATTTACTTTTCTACATTTTTATCAGTTTCATGTAACAAATATGACAAATGAAGCCGGGACCATGTCCAAAATGTAGAATTTCAAAATCAGTGTCAAGGTCACCCCAGATGTCTCTGTGAGAAAATCAAGCTAGAAAATGCCTTTCTTGCAAAGAAAGAAAACCAAAATGGAGAAAAGGGATAAAGTATATACTGAAACTAGATTATGGGTATTTTCTAATGAGAAGAAAATCTTTTGATGGTCTGAAAATGGCAATTAAAAGATAAGAAAACTCAATAAAATTAGCCAAATGAGGAGAGGAAGCAAAATGAATAGAGACATAGCAGAACTACATTATTTTCTTTCTAAGAAGATAATTTTTATTAGGCATCATTGATATCTTTTTTATTTCCTATAATGATCTTTTATTACTATCTTTTTTATTATGCATAATAAATACCGATTTCCAAATATAATTAGGAAATACACTGGAGCTATGGCAATATAAAGACAATGGAAGTATATCTTAAAGCATTTTGAATATAAATGAACAGTCTATAGGCGAATGGGATACTTTTACCATATATCAATGCAAAAATTAATACAATTCTATAATTGATAATAAAGAATATTTATAATCACAGGAATAGTCATACTGAGTTGATAGCATTTGGATTGGCTCCTTTTTCCAAAAATGTCAGGCACACATCTTTAACATCATGGGCTTCTTCGCAAGCTCTAAGGAATACTGGCTTTCCTTCATAGGAAGAATTGTTGATGTCAGCGCCATGTTCCAGGGCAATCAGAGCACAGCGATAATGCCTCTGAGTAGGTAAAATGCAGTAAAACAAAATACCTGTAGAAAAATAGAATTCCCAAAGAGTACTTCATACTTTCTACATATTTGAGTCAGGAAGGAAAAATGAATAATTTTAAAATCCACAATTAGCTAGTTGAAGGTGGTTGAGCAAAGACATATACCTGCCTTGGTTTTCCCTCTGAAACCAAGACAGAAACAAACAAAAAAACTCAACCTCTGATAAGAGTTAGAAAACAGACACAACCAAATATGATAGGACCTGGTTTAGGAAAGAATCTGAGGGCCAGTATGTGAACCCGTCCACCCCAGTATTTGGCATCTTGCAGTCTATACCTTAGGCATCCCTTGTGGAAATGTGTAGGACTGTGTGTCCCAGAGGGCTACTGGTGGGAGTCACTCTGTTCCTTCTGAAACTGCAGAGTGGCAAAGGAGATAGTAGTATATAATGAAATGCGCAGACTGGCTGAGTGTCTATGAAACAGGCTATCAGCAGAGTAACCGTTGAGAAGAAAAAGTAGATGGCGAGTAGCTCTGCCATTCTGGCAAATTGTTTTGTTCCACTGAAGAGAGGCACTCTCCACACCCAGGACTTCTGACATACGTGGCCTTGAAATAATGCATATTAAAAGTGTACTCCAGATCCGTTGTATTCTTATAATTCTGCAGAAGAAGTCAAGTAAACGACAGCCAAGTTCCACACTGACTTTGTAATGGCCTCCCTCTAGACAGAGGCTTCTTTAAAAGAGGTACAGTAGCTAACAAGAAACATGACTTAAGCAAAAACGGGTGCTGAAAGAAAGGAAAGGCACCTGTTAATGAAACTAGGCAAAAAATATACACTAGAAATATTATACCACATGAAAATTATTGACTGACCCATTTCCCAGATAATAAAGAAATGACAGCTTAGCTTTAATTTCACAATTTTAGATTTTCATGCCACAAAATTTCTCAATTTTTCTTTGTGATTTATATCTCTGTTTCAAACTCAAGGAGGTAAAGTGTTCTCCATTACAGTGGTTTCCCAAAGAGTATTCCACAAAACTCCAGGTATATAAGATGCCATAAGGAAAAACTATTTCATGAAGAGAATATGGAAAATGTCACTGTCTTTAGTCTTTCTGACAAATGTGAAATCAACATGTCTGCATTTGTTTTATCCAGTGTTTCTCTAATGAATTTGACAGTGAAACCAATTTTGAATGTAGCCCTTATCAACATCCCAGGGACTAAGGGGTCATGGAACACACTTTGGGAAATGATATTCTATAGCCTTTTGAGAGGCTTTTATTTCCCCCCAGAATTTAACATTTTAAAAGACATTTGACCTATGAGTGCATCTGAAGTTTATTTTGTTATGTGATACCATTAAGTAATCAAATAATTCTTCCTTTTCTTTGAAGCAAGTCACTTATCAAATACTAAGTCTGGAGAAAATGACAAAAGCAGATTTTGTTCCTGGCAGAAATCATTAACATAATAAAATGGGATTTAGGTCTCCAATGTAGGACTGATAACGGCTTTGCACTTGAAGCAACTCTTTGGAACAACTGACTACATCTACTGATTTATATTAGGCCTGGTGGTAAATTTCTTAGTGATTTTCATGAGGCTGTGTCACCTCCTGCTGGAACCTTAAATTGGACAAGAAGTTCCCAGACTGTGGACCTGAGACGGGATAAAGGAGAACAGCATTGAGAAGTACGACTGTCTCACCTGAAGTCATGTAAATGCCCTGTCTCAAGTTTCAAGCCGTATTTCCAAATACACTTAAAATAACCCCAGGAAATTAGAGTTTCTTTCAGAGTCTACTTAAGTCCTACAAAGCCCCAAATGCACCTCCTTCCTCCATCAGACTGCTACTGAGAGGGGACAGGAATCCTGAGTCTAGTACTACTTGAGGTTCTAAAATGTGGAAAAGAGTAAGAAATGCTCTACCTCACCTTTTGTTCTAAGTAAGAATTCATATTTTATAATACATGGTTATGATCACAGTGATACATGTGTTGAAAATTCTCCATACCTGGAAAAAAAACCCCAAATGCAGATTAATCTAATTCTAATTTTCTTCCTAAGTAAGAAAACTCTCAGTACTACTTTCCCTAAGATAGCCCTATATCGTTTTCAAATTATGGGGGGAGTGAGTCCTTAGATGCAGGAGTGAGAATCTGGTCTTTCCCTTAAAACCATGAGTAATTCACATGTACAGTCAGAAAGCAAAATGTCCTCTGCACAGATTTCTGGCCACCAGGTGAATTGCATCTGTGAAATAGAATGTTGGGATTTTTACCTTTTCCTTCATTATCAACTATCCTCATATCAGCCTTGGCCTTGGCTAATATTTCCATGGACAATTCATGGCCCAGTTCTGCGGCCCTCATCGTCGGAGTACAGCCCATCCTGTCCTGCACATCCGGGTGAGCACCAAGGTCAAGGAGAAAGCTGACCATATCGATGTCATTGGAAACGGAGGCTAAGTGCAGAGCACTGTGTCCGCTGACGGGTTCTGTGAAATTGATTAGCCCGGGGTATCCAAGCCTGGTTAGCTTCTCTATCTGCTTCTTGTCTTTGTTCCGAACACATTGAAGAACTTTGTAGATCTGCAAGTTCTCAAGTCTCTTATCTGCTAAAGCCATACTTCATCAGCTTCTTAAAAATGCTTTTCTGGACCAAAATAAAAAATATAGCAGCAGAAACAAAAACATACAACTCAGAATTAATTTTGTCATCTTTACTTTGATTAAATACTACTAATAATGTATGCCTTCCCTAAGAAGACAGGCTGTTTCTTATGGAACATTATTACTGTAATTTATTGCAATGATTTCATGAAAGCATAAGTTACATAAAAGTACAAAAAATATTCAGCTAGCATGAAATTAAAATATTTCAAAACAAATCTCCCCTTGTAATGAACACTGGCCTTGTTATGCAGTTTTCTTGTTACCTCATTTAATATTCCTTCCTTGACACAGCCTTCACATTTTACCCATGGAGAAGGAAGGTAAATTGCCAAGGTAAGGACTTGAGCTCCTATTCTATGTCTCTGTACAGCATGCCCCCTACTATGTAGAGACCATACAGGTTTTAGTAAAACACGTAGAAGGCTGAGGTGCGGGAATCTACGGGGCTCTGTGAGATATCAGAGACATGATGGAGGATTCCTGTGTTTCTTAAATGGGAATGAGGTAGGTGAATAGTTGAGAGACAGTTGGAAATTTTCATAAATATGAATATTCATAAATATCTCATAAATGCTTTTCATTGTTAATTCTATGGATCTCCTTTTGTTATTTATGGATAAACAATCTTTTGAATTGAGAAGTCAGCCATGTAAGGTATATCCAACTTGTTTTTCTTTTTTCCCGTTTTCTGGGAAAAGAACCCATCATGCTGGGAACTCTTTTGGGGAACAACTGTCCTAGGCCAAATCATTGCCACAGCCTTCCAATTTGTCTGCCTCCACAATGGCCCTCTAAGTTCCTTTCTCTATTCCGTCCTCAGGAAAATCTTTAAAAAATGTAGATCAGGTAAGACCAAGCAAGCTTCCACCCCTAGCATCTTCGATGGGGCTGCCCCTTCTATCCCCTGCGATGGGAATGAGACCCAGGCTTAGCCGGACTGAGTCCCCTCCCTGGCTAGTGAACGTCCCAGCATATGCTCAGCTGGTCAGCATCCTACAGGACCTTTCTGTGGAAGTAAACATGAAATGGAAAGACCACTCTTTCTGCTGTAGCAGTTAAGCGTAGGGTGAGGGTCTCCAGCTGCAGGCAGCTGTCTTGGCTGTCATGAAACGGCCTGTAATGAACGAAGACTCAGAGAGAGGCTCAGGCTGAAGGCAGCAGTCGCACTCAGGACTCAGCTGTGCTGGAATTCACCCACCACTTTAACGTGTATGGTTGCATAAGTAAATATATCCCTCCCCCCACCTTAATGTAGCACAAGCTAGTTAGCTGAGTGTCATTTACAGAAAAATTTCATCTTATGGGAACGAAACTATACAATCTTCTTCCCACTGCAGCCCTGCTCCCTCACCTACATTCCCTGTGGCCAGTGAGTGGCACTGTTGGCCACTCACTCCTTCTTTGTGTTCCTCTGGGCAGCCCTAGCATCTCCATTGCCTGTTTCCTTCCTACCTCCTTCTCATTCTCCTTTGCTGGTCACCCCCTCTTCCCCAGAAGCCTAATTGTTAGGTTGCTAACAGTAGGCCCTCAGGACCCTCCTCTACGCTCACACACTCCCCATGATCTCATCCCATCTCATGGACTTCATCCCAATTTACAGCTGCTGACTGTTCACTCTCAAACAAACACAGCTATCTCTGGCTCTCCCTAAGCCAGAGTTATCCACCTGTCACCTTTTCAACCCCGTGTGGATGTCTAATGCATATCTAAAAAGTAACATGTCCAGAGCTGAATGCTTGATCTCACCTTGACCTCCTCCAGTTCTCCCATTTCTGAGAATGGCATCACCATCCACACACCTCCTCAGATTGAAATACTAGAAGTCGTTTTTCCTTCTTTCCTCCCTTTACCAATTCTATGCTTTAAATCCATCAGCAGATACTGTACTCTGTCTCCCGAATATATCATGACATCAACTCCCAGTGGAACTGTCCTAGTAGGCCAAATCTTTGCCATAGCCTTCTAATTTGTTTCTGTTTCCACAACAGCCCTCTGCAACCCAGTCTCTATTCAGTCCCCAGAAATATCTTTTAAAAAGGTTTATCAGACAAGATCAGACAAGCTTCACCCCCAACATTTTAGCATAACTATGTTTAAACATAAAGAAATGTGTAATACGCATGTATCTACCACTGAGATCCTATCCTTGATGCTTTGTTATCCATACCTATGTATGTATCCCTCTATCCATTAATTCATCCTATTTTTTGATCCATTTCAAAGTAGCTTGCAAACATTCTCTACATACATAGCCTTAAACAAAGTTCAATATCTGTTTAGCTTTTTTCTCATTGGTCTTTTGAATACATAATGATATGAATAATCATTAAATATACCATACCATCAGTTTTCACTAATGCACACATCTATGCAGCCCAAACCCCCCTCAAGATATAGAACATTTCTTTCATGCCAGAAAGTTTCCAAACTATCTCTTAAAAGCTTTCCATCAGAACCAGAATAAATCCAAACTCCTCATGATGATCCCTTAAGAATCCTTCTTCTGTACCTGACCTGACTTCACTCTAATATCGCACTGGTTCAGTGATCTCCAGACACACTGACCTTCTATTTATGCAACAAAAGTTCATTCCTGCCTCTTGAACTTCTTGTTCCCTCTGCCTGGAGGGCTTTTTGCTCAGATTGCTACTGGCCACCACTTCTCACCATTCAAGTTGCAGTCAGCTGGTTACATCACCCCTTCATTTTATTTTCTTCATAATGAAATGAAACATTTCTATGAATCTATGCCATTCCTATAGACATGCAGATATAAATATATTCAATAACTGTGCATCTGCCCCACTAAAATATAGTCTTCATGGAACAGAAGACTTTATATATAATTTCCATTATTTCTCCATCACCCTGAACCTGACTCATATCAGGCATTCAATAAACAGTTGCTCAATAAATGATGACTGAAAGTTGAAAGAATTGAGGAGTGGAAAGAATCGAAGAAAACTCCCAGTTTTCTGGTATGAGCAACTGGACACCTGTGTCTGAGGGGAAGCTCAGGATGAGATCCAGACTGGTCAGAGAGCACAGATGGCTAAGCCTTGGGCATGCCAAGTTAACAGCCCACAAGGCAATAGGATACATAATTCAGGAGAGAGATTTGAGCCTGGTCTATGGGTAGTTACGAGCTTTTCAGAGCTTCCGGGGCAGTCTGAGATTGGGTGAAGGCGAGGGGAGAGAGCATCTTAAGACGAGCGACCACCTCCATCACATGCAGGCTGTCGCCTTATCATCCCCTTCCCAGCTCCTGCCTGCTGTTTATTCCTTGTGCTTCTTCCTCCTTTGCTGCCGGGACATCAGCCATCACATGGCTTACAGTTTCAAAGCCCTGTTTGCTGTAGCCTCTCTCTTGCCCTCTAAATGACACAGCTGTTAGAACCATGTGTATAAACCGGCTCCCAATACGTCCTGAGCTGCCTCAGAAGTCATCCACCTGCCTGTGCCGTGTGGCTTGGTGGTATTATTTTAGCAGCTGCTTAAGGATAGTTTTTATTATTACCCTGGCACCTCATATGTACAGACAGAGACATCCTAATCAGACACTTCAGTGTTGTCTCTAAGGGCTCTCATCCCTGACATACAATTAGCAACATGTGCCTTGTCCACTCAAGCTACAATGATGGATTCATTTGTCAATGGGCCAGTTCTGTGGATCACCTCCCTCCCAGCTAAAGCCCCCAAATGCTGTGGATAAAGCAGTGTTCTTTGCAACCAACTGCCAAGGCTGACCAGGATCCTCACCCCTGGAGGAAATAACAAGTCCTGCCTCCTTGTCTTGGGCTCTTCATGAATTGGTAGCACCTCTGGTCCTCAGGAGCACCACCACACAGACACACCCCCAACATGGATACTTCATCTCAGCATGGCCCTGGGGCTCCTTGGCATAATCCTCATCTAAACATCTATATGGGCAATTTCAAAACATAGTGGAAAAGAACAGGATTTCTTAACATGATGTCATGTTTGGGTCTGATCACTCTGAAATTGTAGAGACATCTGTGGGAGGTGGGGAGGTGTCCAGGTGAATTTTCCCATCCAGAGAGAGCCATAGAGTTCATCAACTTCTCAAAGAAGTCGGTGGATGGTTTGTTAAAAAGAGGAGCAGAAGGATAGATTACGTACTTAGAAATAGTACGTAATAGCTTCTAATTTAAATAATTTAACAGTGGGGAGAGTACGGCTGCAGGTGGGGGAAATCTGCTGTTTGTGATATTGCCTCTTCTGCTTCATTATTTATACAAACTGGGTGGATAAATAAACCCAGACGCATACCTTCAAGAAGTACCCTTGTGGCCATGTGAATAGAAAATGAGGGATAATCCTTGTCCTTGGCCAAGTCCTTCAACACAGCTCGCTATGAATAAATCAAGACTTGGGTGGATTTCAATTCCCCCCAAAAGCCACTTTTACATTGCCGGACCCTTTACTGTCCCTTTCAGTTTTAACTCAAAAATAATCTGACGGGGTGTGGGGGTTAAGTTGTAAAGGGGAGGCCAGGGGGCAGGACCAAGGTGCTAAGCTCACCTCTCAGCGCTGGGGATGATCGGGGGGCCTCTGCTGCGCGCGGGCGGGCGGCCCCGGCTCCGGTTCCCCGCGCCTGGCGCAGGCCGCAGCCGCCACCTCGGCTCCTGCAGCGCGGCCCGGGCGCTCAGGAGTGCCTGGCGTCCCCTTGGGCCGATCAGGCGAGCGGGCGCACGGG